TGATAAGGGGGAGAGATTAATCTGTCACTGATTGATGGGTGTCATTAGCTGGTTTTTTGTGTACAGTGTTCACTGGTCCTTGTAGCTGGGTACAGCTCGTTGACCTTTTGCAGGCTGTATTTTTCAGTTCTGGGAGCCAGGCTTTGCTGAGTTTTAGACTTTCTTCTCTTTTTTTGAAACTCTGCTGGTGTTTGTGGATTTCAATGGCTTCCCTACGTAGTCTAACATAATGATTGCTGGTGCTGTCCAGTACTTCTGTATTTTGAAATAGAATTTCATGTCCAGCTTGTTTTAGGGCATATTCAGCTACTGCCGATTTTTCTGCTTATTTTAATCTGCAGTGTCTCTCATGTTCTTTAATTGTGGTGTGGATGCTGCATTTTGTGGTTTATTTAATATGCTATCTTTCTCCATACTTAAGTTACACTACTTTCCTCTTCACAATTTCATGTTGGACTGCATTGTATCAGACGCCTTTTTAGCTATTCACATTTTAAAATAAACATCTGTTGTTTAATGGGCACCTTGTTTCTGAGGGTTAAAAAAGGCTCACAAATGTTTGAATTCTTGGGGCAAGGTGCAGTTCTTCTCACAGTCAACCTCAGGAAGTCCAAAAATGCTGCCTTTGTGTTCAGATCCCAACGAAACCTTTTTCTTACTCATGCCACTTTTCAGTACCCTGATTCATGCTGCCAAAGGCTCTTCTGTGTCCATATTAGTACACATTGAAATTATGTCCTTCCAACACATCTCTTTTCCTCTTCCTTTAGGCTTCCATCTGCTGCATGATCCAATTCAAGTTCAAAATAGAGATAGTTGCTATTGTTCCCTTGTTTCCACCCCCACTCATCTCTGTCTGTTTCAAATCCCCAATTTCTAACCATCTGGGTTTCAAGAATGGAAGCATCCATAAAGGAAACAAAGAGCAGATTCTCAAACAGGGAATCACTCTAAACTCAATGTGTAATTTAAAGTAAAATTGAGCCCGTTACGGAGTGTGTAATTCCTCCCATCTGTCCCACTGAAAGAAAAGGGATGCAGGGTTTTTTTTAAAAAAATCATTATTTCTCTCTCTCTCTCTTTAAAATAGCTAAATAGTTGTAGGATTGTTTGCAGTTCTTTTGGGGGGGGGCGGCGGGAGCGTTGCATCTTTTCTCTCCATCTCTCAAATTCAACATGAAGGATTAAGGGGATCTGGATGGCAACTTCCAACCATACAAAAAATTATTAGTTCTTGAAGATATATAAAAAAGCAAAAGCGTGCTGTTTATGTGTTTTTCATCAAATTGGGAAAAGACAGAGGCTTCTTTAAGGTGAAGAAAGGCAATACACAATTGTTCATGTAGACACAGATGTACGCGGATTACCAGAGTCTCTCGAGACTGAAGGATGTCTACACGTGCTTGTCAATATGTCAAGGTTCACTCTAAGGCACACCCCTGTGAGTGCAGGCCTCCATCCTCCCTCCACGCAGGGCTCTTCCTCCACGCACACACAGTGACAGTTTCCCATCCCTTTCATTCCAGTCGCAATGAAATCCCACACAGGAGGCGAAGTTGCACGCTTAAGGGGCAGAGCCCCACCCCGCCGGGCGGAAAATTAGAAGGAACGTTGACATGCATGCATCCGTTCTACAGCTTGCAGAAGTACCTCTTTTTGGACCATAGTATGGTCAATGGACATTCTGGCTGTAGGATCCTGAGTGCTGAGATCCAAAGAAAGGAATTTACAAGATCTGGTCAACACACATACACCCATGGAGAGGGAGGGAGGGAGGGAGAGGCATGCACATGTAGTGAAGTCTTTGTTTTCTCTATGATTGTAGAAGAGCAAACTCATTTCTTGCTCAAGGTGAGATCCATGGTTTGTTGGGGCCTGGATCTCCCGAGGCCCAGTCTAACACTCAAACCACTGTGCTATTGATTGATTGATTGATTGATTGATTGATTGATTGATTGATTGATTGATTGATTGATTGATTGATTGATTGATTAATTGATTGATTGGATTTTTACCCCGCCCCTCTAGACCATGTCTACACTATCTTAACAGAAGCTCCCTGCGCTACCTTGTCCAGGAAGCTTGCTCATGTTTGTCCTTCAGCAAGTTAGTGTTTCTCTAGCGTTATAAGCAGCGGTGCTTCTACGAGGAGAGAATAGTCTCTTTCTGTGCCTGCCTCTTTGCAGCAATAGCAGGAAACAAGCGATGCAGTTTTTGAAACAAAACCGAAATTGTAACCGAATAGTTTCCATACAACGTCGCTGGGTCACTTCGACACCAGTCACAGCAACTGCCCTGTAAGTTTTGGGGAGTTTGGGGAGGGGGGCACAAATCCCCAGAGCATCCTTTGACTGTGAAGAAGTCAGTAACTTTTCTTTTCTCACAAGGACCGGCCCCTTTGGAGAATTCTCCCAAACAAATGTGTGCAAGTCACGTTCCCCTCCCCCCCCTCCCCCCCCGCTAAACCTTTGGCTGAAAATCTCTGTTGAAAACTGCATGGTGCATGGTCTAAAATAACCAACAATTTCCCAAGAAACTTGCCAGCATGTACTACTCTGGGCCTTTTGGAAATTAAAGAAGTGAAAGGAGAGGTGATGGGAGAGAGAGAGGAGGAGAGCTGTGTTTACTTTTAATTTTGTTTTAAGACTCTTCACCAGAGAGTTCATGATGTGACTTGGAAACTCTATCAAATCATGATTTATTGTTGGCCTGTTAATTCTATAAAACTGAAAGACAAGCCAGACACAGCTGCTTGCCTGTTCCTCAGTTTTCGCTTTGCATGTCAATATCCTATAGTCAGGGGGTAACCTGCTCTCCTCTTGCCTTTTCTTGGTTTTGCTTTGCGGTCAGTAGGAAAGCTTGATCGATAGATTATGTGGAAAAGCCAGTGTTGGTATGCTGTGGGTGTTTCTCTGCTGGCCAAATTCCTGCTGTCTTGAAAAGGTTTGATAAATCCTTACATCAATGGATAAATAAGTGCACAAGTGGCAGTTAAAGCTCACCTCTGTCAAGACCAGAACGAAGAGATGCAACTTCTAGAAGCATTGTTATATCTTCTTGAATCATATGGGCCAAAAATCTTTTCTTTTTTAAAAAAAGATATGAAGTACACTGGCACTTTGGAACCCAGAAGACGTGAATATTAAACTGGGGTTATGCACCAGACCTGGAAAATTTCCAAATTCTGAAGAGAACTGGCCTGATTCAAAGTAATCTGTATGGAGTCTGAATCAACGAGGAATGCCAGATTCATTTACTAGGAGAAGCAGATCTATAAAGCAGTTTGAACCCAGACCACAAATGGATTACCCAAATCCCTCTGGACCGAATTGGGATGTGTTCCAACACAGATTGGAAGCAGGCGACCACGTACACCCTAATGTGGACTCCCATGAAAATGAGATACTGGCTCCAAGGCAACCCAGCATAGTGTTGGTTGGTCAAGGCAAGAAGTGTGGGCATATCAACCTCTTTAATTAGTAAGCCAGGAGAATGCGGAGGTTTCTAATATGCTGGATGTAACAGTACAATGGTGCCTCGCTTAACAACGTTAATTCGTTCCAGCAAAATCGCTGTAGAGCGAAAACGTTGTAAAGCAAAATTTAAAAAACCATTGAAACTGTATGGCGTCTGAATCAACGAGGAATGCCAGATTCATTTACTAGGAGAAGCAGATCTATAAAGCAGTTTGAACCCAGACCACAAATGGATTACCCAAATCCCTCTGGACCGAATTGGGATGTGTTCCAACACAGATTGGAAGCAGGCGACCACATACACCCTAATATGGACTCCCATGAAAATGAGATACATCCTTCTGTATGAGAGCTGAACTGGATGTCACTGGCTCCAAGGCAGTATAGTGTTGTTTGGTCAAGGCAAGAAGTGTGGGCCATATCAACCTCTTTAATTAGTAAGCCAGGAGGATGCTGAGGTTTCTAATATACTGAATGTAACAGTAAATGGGTCTTCAGGGAAGGGCTGTAGTTCAGCACATACTTGAATGGGTCTTCTGGGAAGGGCTGTAGTTCAGCACATACTTGGTGTGTAGAAATTCAGTTACCACCATTGCCCAGTAATGCTGGGGAAGACTGCTACAGAAAAACCTAGAGAGCAGCTTCCAGTCAGTGTAGACAATACTGAGCTTGATAGAACCATGGGTCCTTTCATAGAGTGTTGCTTTCTATATGTCCTTATATTTTTTTAAACTGCATTTGCTGATGTGAGCTGAGTGGCCAGAATAACAGCAGGTGTGGTGGAGAGATTTTATCAGTTTTTCCCCTGCTGTACTCCTGAATAAAACCCATCTTCTGAAGCAGCTATCTTTATTAGGAGAATATCTGCCAGGGGTACCAAAGTGCCTTTTCCCACGTCTCTGACTTCCTACATGAGCCTTACATTGGAGTGGCGGCAGTAGGCAGTAGCACTGTGATCAATGCGAAGTGGCAGGAGTTGTCCACTGCATAAACATCCCACAATGCCCTGCAGCAACTATTCCTTGAAGCATTGTGGGGAATTTAGATGGTGGATGGCTCCAAGGCAACCCAGCATAGTGTTGTTTGGTCAAAAGTGTCTACAGAAGACCAAGCATTTGTTCATCTAGTGAACCAGTCTGTTCCTGCAATAGCCAGTTGCATTCATGTCCACAACCAGGACATGAATGCAACTGTACATTACTGCATCTTGGGGCAGAGCATTCTGCAGCTGAATTATATACTGTGTGAAGAAGTTTGTATCATTCGCCCAAGTTACTGCATCTTGGGGCAGAACATTCTACAGCTGAATTTGTGGGAGTCTGAATCTGTGAATTGTATATTGTGTGAAGAAGTTTGTATCATTCGCCCAAAAACTCTGCCCATTGAGCTTCCGTGGATGACCCCACATTCCATTGCTATGAGATGTACATCCCTCTGGTTTCTTCCCATCACATTAAACAATTTCCATGTGCCTGGGTGTATATTCATTTTGCACTAACACGCCTCTGGTTTCTCTCCTTCCAGTCTTCGGGCACCAGTATTACAGTTGATATTGCTGTCATGGGAGAAGCTCATGGACTCATCACGGACCTTCTGGCAGATCCTTCCTTGCCCCCCAACGTCTGCACCTCCCTGCGAGCTGTGAGCAACCTCCTCAACACACAGTTAACCTTCCAAGCTATTCATAAACCAAGGGTCAACCCCTTGGCATCCTTCAATGAGAACTATACATGCTCTGATTCAGAGGAAAGCTCAGAGAAGGGAGAGAAGCTTATTTCCAAGGTATGTATCTCCCTTTCAACATGGCCAGACATATGGTAGCATCTCAGCCTCTTGTGGCAGGAAGATCAGATCTTTCATTGTGTAAAGAGGACATCTTAAGCACAGCATGGTCTCTGTTCAAGTTTTGTAGGTTAACTGCTGGTTATGTCAGTGCTGTTATTTGGTTGCTTAATTTAGTGGTCCCCATCTTTGGGCCTCCAGATGTTCTTGGGCTTCAACTCCCAGAAATCCTGGCCAGCAGAGGTGGTGGTGAAGGCTTCTGGGAGTTGTAGTCCAAGAACATCTGGAGGCCCAAGGTTGGGGACCACTGGCTTAATTGACACTTTTGGAGTGGAAGATCCTCTTCTCTTATGAACAGTATATACTTTTGTACTGGGAAAGATAATATGATAAAGCAAACATCTCCTACTCTAGGGAAGTGCTTGTCTGGTCGATATCTATGTGATTACTAGAACTTAAGGGGAAATCGGAGGGGGCAAGAACACAGCTCTAGGTCCCACAAAGCAAAGTGAAATAGCAGGGATCACAACCAGCTCTGACCATCATAGCAACTGGTCAGGGGGTGATTATTTTGGCTTGATAAATGATGACTTACCTGAGAGTGGGTTGTGTCCCTGCTTGTTCCCATTCTGTTTTGGTCCCTTTGTTGTTGGGAGTCTTTAAAATGTGGTTTCAGAGTTCAGAGGTTATGGGAAACCCCGATATAAGAAACCACACAAATAGAGGAGTAGAGAAGAAAGGCTGTAGTATGCAGGTACATAGCTTATTTCTGGGCTGCTGAACCACGGTTCGGACTTAATTGGGATTCAGACTGAGATTTAATCCAACTGTACAATTATCTCAGTCCAATAAAGAATGGTTTATGGATAAGCCTTGGTTCATCAGACCAGAATCATGGCTTACCGTTTGTAATGCCCCCAGGAGTAGTTTGAACAGAACCTGCAGTATTCCTGTTTAGCAGTGAGTGGGCAGGTGAGTGATGTGCAAAATCTGTGTTGTGAAAAGGAGCCGGAGCGTCCCTTTCCCAAGAAGATGTTGCTGTTTGTTTCATTGGTCTCAATGACTGTGTGCAAACGCCTTCAACTGAAGAAGAAACCAGCAAAATTCAGATTGAGAATAAATATGAAAGCCCAACAACGATTTGAGAATATGGATGGAAGAGGATAGAATCAAACATTATCCTTGTCTTCTATCTAGCGCATCCGGAAGAGCCTCCCTCCCGGTCTTTTGCGGCGCGTGTCATCCACGTGGACAACCACCACCTCTGCCACAGGTTTGCCCACCTTGGAGCCCGCTCCCATGAAAAGAGACCGGAGTGCTAGCATCAAGCTTCATGATACTTCATCATCCGGGTGAGGAAATAGTTACACGTTTCTGAGATGAGCAAAAGCCATTTCGTTCTCTATAGAAACTGAGAGGCTTAAATTAAGGGATGGACAATCTCATGAAGTCACACCACCTACCGCACCACCAAAATTCAATAGCCCATCAGTCTTTTATGAGCATAGAACATGCAGGAGACTTAATGCATTAAAACAAACATGCTTTTAAATTTTAGCATAACGGCAGCAAATTTTGAAGAATACGTGTCTTTTATCAGTGCGAGCTTGCAGGACAGAGCACTAACAGCTCTGGGTTTCATTTGGCTTATCGGCTGCATGTTGCCTACCCTTTATTAAAAGTATAGGCTTGTTTAAAAGAAACAGGTATTTCCAGAGCCTGGGAAATTACCTTTTGGACCACAACTGACCCTGCTGGCCAGGAATTCTGGGCTATAGAGTCCAAAAAAGCTGTGGATATTTTGAACAGTTTCAGGCTACACTAAATGACTTGGTATAACCATAAAGACTGAGGCTATTGTTCTCAAAAAATATCTCATAGAAGGTCAGCACAGACACCTAGCTAGACTGGAAGGAGCTTTGCCATAGGGCGCAAACTGGCTGGAGGTCCATCAGGACCATGGATGACAGCTGTGTAGCTCTGTGGCTGCTGTGAAATTTAAAAGTCCAGTCCTATCTTTAAGCAGGTCCTTTTACCATCTGTAGCCCTGTCTATCATGGAAGCATGATAGACACTCAAGACACCTTAGAGCAGGGGTGTCAAACACAAGAATTGTTCAAAAACCTGATGACGCTCAAGACACCTTAGAGTAACAAAATAAGATTAGAAAATACCGAAAAAGTAATCAGCCATTTGGCACCCTATACAGAACATTGTTTCCAGTAAATTCGACATGTTAACCAGCTTTAACGCCACTCTGCTATTTTGCTTTTAATTCATCTCTCTGTCAAAAGACTGCTCTTCCACAAGTGTCAGAACTGATTGAAACTGTCATCTTTAGCCTATCCTACAAGGATTAATGATACCCGTTCAGCCTATAATGAAAGGAAGAGATGGCGTTTCCAACAGGGAGAAAAGGTGACTTTTGTCTTCAGAAATATATCACCAACTCTCCTGATTTATGTCCTCTCACGCCTTAACAACCGTGATGGATCCTAACGCTGATCCTAATGCTTTGGGGAAATTGATGGGGGATTACATCCCACTTTCATTTCCTCCATCCAAAATGCTTTTCATTATCAAGGGGGAAGATGTAGTTCATTCTCACGTCCCACTAAGCTGCTAGGATCGCGAAATCAATTTTCTTGCCTTTTGCGTTATCAGAGGTAGCAGCTCCTCTCAAGTCCAATCCTAGCTGTCCAATATATTGTTAATTAGCCAGCTCCCTATCTGTCTGCTATAGCATTTATGTCTGCAACAGGCTGGCCCTTTTTCATTTCTAGATGTTTTTGTATATCTCTATTAAGGCCCAATTTACTTTGAGAAGGCACCCGCTGCCACTAAAACTGCATGATCGTTGGCGGGACTGTGACCAATCAAAACAATGCTGAAATCAAAGTTTCCTGATTAGATTGTTTGGTCTTATTTCAATTAATACATTTATTCTGAAGCATTTTAACCGGTCTTCTCCGACAGGTGCCCTCTGGATAAGTTAGGCAATAATGTTCAATATCCCAAGCCATCAAGGAGACCTCAAGAATGTCAGAAGTGCTCCTTGTATGAATTGGGATGATGGCAAAAGCTGTCATGTGCTAGGTGCAAACCTTCCTGTAGGATTTTCAAAGTGTGGCTCTCAAAATGTTGTTGGGAGTGCATCTTCCATTAGCCATAGCCAAAATGCAAGATGCTACATCTGGCAGCATTTGGAGGCCTCCACTTTGCCCACCCATGTCTTCAAGGGTTCAAAAGAGGACAAGCAAGCTCAGGTTGGTCAATGATCAAGGCCTAGACTAGAGATTGGTAGGAATATCATTTCCGTCTATTGTATGATTAAAACCTACCGAAGTCCCAACTTTCTTCATATTCAGGATGAGGCAGGGGAACAAAGCTTAAAAATACACGAATGCAGGAGATAGCACAACTGTCTCTTGAGGCTGAGAACTTAAAGTGCTTAATACTTAACAGTCTGAAAAAATTGAATCCCTATAATTCATGTTAGATGGGATGCTGTGAGCTAAACCGCAGAAGCCTCCAGCTGTAAGATTGAATCCACACGATGGAGTGAGCTCCCGTTGCTTTGTTCCAGCTCCTCGCCAACCTAGTAGCTCAAAAGCATGCAAATGCAAGTAGATAAATAGGTAACACCTTGGTGGGAAGGTAATGGCGTTCCATGCCTAAGTCGCTGGCCACCTGACAACAAAAACTGTCTTCGGACAAACGCTGGATCTACGGCTTGGAGACGGGGATGAGCACCACCCCCTAGAGTCAGACACAACTGGTCTAAATGTCAAGGGGAACCTTTACCTTTAACTAATTCATGTTAGTGCTGAACTGAGGTTACCACATCTTGTGTCTCAAATACTTCTTTAACACCTATGGGACAAGTAGGTGCGGAGTGATCCACCCTGTATTAGAGTAGTTATACTGCTTCAAAATATAAATGTGCAAGAAGGCAAAGCTGATAGGTTTCTCCATATGTCGCCTACACATACTAAGGGAGCCCAGTGACACGGAGGGTAAAGATCTCAGCAGATAGTAATCAGGATGGCTGTATTTTACTGCTATGTTCAGAGGACAGTGCTTCAGAATATCAGTCAATAAGCCCTCATGCCCTCTTTGTGAGCTCACCTGATCGTTCCCAGTGGAAAATGGAGTGGTGGGCTAAGTAGGCGTTTGGTCTAATCCAGGAGGGCTCCATGTTCTTGGGGATTTTGAGCATCTATCTGAACTTTGTCTTGGCTCCCGGATACATATTAAGATTTGTGTTGACGCCTGCTTTGTTCCCACAGCTCTGATCCATGGAACAATCCCCTCCTGATGGCGATCTCCAAAAGTAGATCGTTCTCCACCTCCTATGCAATGTCTGCTGCCAACCATCTGAATTCCAAAAGGCCAAATCGACAAGGGGGTGAGCTCTCTCAGACCTACCGGCGTGTTGGGGTTTTCCATTAAGTTTGACTTGGCCAAACAGGTCCCAGCAGGGTCTCAAATGAAGTGGTGTTCTGGATTCCTAATGGGACCCATGGGGCTGTGAGTGTACTCCTTGACCAAATATTTTAGTAAGAATAATCTGCTGCGTGTTCATGTTGTTGTTCTGTGCCATCAGGTCAGTTCGACTTACAGCAGCCTTATGAATTAAGTGGCCACCATAGGATATTGTCAGTCGGCTCAAGTTCCTGGATTCCTTTATTGTGTCAATCCATCTCAGGTCGTACCTTGGATTAAGTAACAGCTGGAAGGCCAAAAGCATTAGCTCCACACACTGACTTGATCCTCTGAAAGGTGGAAGTCTCTTCTACATCCTTTCTCCCAGCCTGAAGAGCAACAGAGGCTTGCCAGAGCCCCTGCCGTCATTACATGTTTTTGTGCCAGAGTTGATGCTGTGCAGGAGATCATGGCCGTGTTCAAAAAAATAACACTAAATAGCTTTGCCCTACTGGGATCTCTGCAGATATGGCTCGGGTGGCAGGCGTTGTAATTCACCATATCTGGAGGGTAGTGGGTTTGGGAAGACTGCTCTAAACCACAACTTCCATTACAGCAAATAATCTGAATGAGCTTCAGATTTTCACGGGCTTCTCTCTGCCCCTCCCCTGCTGTGTATCCATGAGAAAAACACTCAAAAGTTTTTACAGTAGATGAACTTCCATTTAACCTACCATCTGAATCCAAACCAGTGGACATGAAATTCTATCTCTTGTAGAAGCAAGAGTCATAGCTCACGGAGACCCTTAATAGCAGTCACATCAGCTTTGTAGCAAATAGCCAGCCATAGTTGTGAAGGGTTGTGTCCCATTTGGTGAGGAGAACAAAGGATTCATGGGCTAGATGGACTCACAGGAGAAACCTTCAAAGAGCTTTAATTATCCCAGAAAGAAGCCACCATTGCTTTCAATGACTATTGTTTTCAATGAGGTCAGGGTGTTTGTCAAAAACACGTGACTATGAGATAGAATTACGTTTATGATGGTGCAGCATCCAGCCATCCACTGGTTGGAGAAACTAGCTTTTGAAACCTTTGAAATAAGGGATGAACAAAATGTGTTTTCCAAAGTTATTTTGCCCCCTCCAGCCTCTTTGGGCTTCCCTAGACCTTCATGTTGTTGTGGTGGTGGTGGTGGTGGTGTCAGCTTTCTCAGCGGAACTCACGGTTTTAGCAAAGTATTTGGCGGTTCAGGCAGTCCAGGAATAACTCACACATAGTCCAGCAGCATTTCCTTCAGCAAAGTGTATTTACAGCAATATTTATAGCAGTCTGGCAGCATAACGAGTAGATGTGATCTTCAAGCAGGTGAAGATATAACTAACTGTACAATCGTACATATATACATATACAGAACATATACATCATCTCTGCTGAGTCATCCTGACTCAGTTTCAGCACACCTGATCATTATGGCTTCTCATTAATACACTCCATTCTGCTCAGGCCTGCAATTTTCCTTGACATGTTGTTGTTGTTGTTGTTGTCATATGCCACCAAATCAGAACGGACTTACAACAACTGGGGATTCAAACCCAGGCCTCCTGAATCCTAGTCTGTTACTTTATCCACTACACCACACTGGGTGTAGTGAGACCTCCATGTACATGCGATTGGGGGGAAAAACGGGAAAAGGAAGAGTGGTTTTGACTTATCCCTTCTAGGAGATACAGGGGTCAAATTTGCCATATTATGAGGAACTCCAGGCACATATGAGGAAGCCCCATGACCATTGGCCATTAGATGATGTGAGATGATTTTTAAGGATAAAATATATTCATATTTCTGTTTTTTTTTTTAAAAAAAGCATTGTAGCAATCCCTATACCATTGTCCCAAATTAAATGTGCAAATTCATCTCCCTCCCCCACAAACTCACCTCATGGACCTCCATCTTGAAAGTCTGGTCTTTAGGCTGCTGACCAACCTTAAAAAAAATGGTCCTTAGTCCCACTAAGGTCTCTCATGGTGTACAGGATGAGACGAAAGCTTGTTCACAGAATGCATGCTTCGTTCTTCAAAGGTGCCAGATGCAGTCCCTGGCATCAGAAGTAAAAAAAAAAGATGCAGGGAAGCTGAGCAAAGGAGGACTCATGCCAGAGACCCTGGAGGCCACTGCTAGGTAAAAGACATAGTGCTGAGGGAGTTGCAACAGATCAGGGGCAGACCCTCCAGAGTTTGCTAGAGGCTGGTGACTCCAGGTTTTGTTACTGGAGGAAGGTGACTCCAGTTTCTGGAGACACTGATGGTGTAAATCTGTACATTTATTGAGCTGTCCAAAGTACTGAATGTACATTTGGGCTAAGACAGTAGTTCCCAGCCTTGGGTTCCCCAGATGTTCTACAGCTCTTAGAAATTTTAACCAGCACCACTAGTGGTGATGGCTTCTGGGAATTTTACTCCAAGAACATCGGAGGACCCAAGATTGGGAACTATTGGGCTAAGATACAGGACCTAGCTTCCTGGAATACACCTAGTTTTGGGACTAGGATTCTGCACCTTTCATAAAATTCAGATTAAAACTCAGATTAAAAATCAAAATAGATGTATTGCCCTTGTAAAACCGGCACTTACTGGCTGGGCTGGAGTTCCCAACAATGGTTCTGTTGGATAAGCTAATGGGAGTTATGACCCCACCATTTCTGGCATGCCACAGTTTGCCAGCCCCCCCCCCCAGACTAGACGATCTGCATCTTCATGTCCAACTCACAAACTGTCATATTTGAAAAATGTAATTCTTGTTTTTCTCTGACTAGGTATCCCCCCAAATATTTCGCCGCTTACCTCCCCAAGCCATTCGCCTCTCGTGGGCACTCCAGCCAGCAGTCCAGTCAGCAAAACTGCCAACGAAGAATTCCCAGAGTCAACCGTCACTGCCACTAAGCAAACCATCAAGCCGCACAGGGCTCTAAGTTGTACTCAGAGTGCGCCTCCCTTGGCGGAGCCTGTGGTGGCCACACCTGTTGTGTGCAGCAGGTAAGAGACTCTATGGGCAGTTGTTTAAATGGCTATGCATCCATATGTGCCCCTTCCTTCCTTCCTTCCTTCCTTCCTTCCTTCCTTCCTTCCTCCTTCCCTCCTCCTCTTCCTCCCCCGTCTAAGATCAGTCAATCAAGTACCCAGCTGACTGGGGGTGCAATGTGTAGCCTGCATTATTAAATTGTAAACTGCTCAGAGAGTGCTTTAAGCTCTGTGGGACAGTGAATAAGCAGCATGCTTTGCTTTTTATTTAAAAAGAAAAATGAAAACTAAATAAAAGGGGATAAATGCCAGCCCATCGGTTAAGATCTTGTGGTTTTTAAGGCTGCTCATTGCCAAAGCGCTGCAATCCTTTGGAAGGGATGGCAAAGAGGTGCCAAAGTTGACACCTGTTAGCAAAGGGTTCTTGAAGTTGGAAGGAACCTCTCTCACGTCCCCCTTAGATAGGCTTCTGAAGTTGGTGAGATCACGAGACGGGAAGGGGGGCTCTCCTGCAGATCTCAAAGCCCAGAAAGGCCTGTATGGGAGAATATGGCATTTTAGTTAGCCTAGATTCAAGTTGTGTTGGCCTTTTTATAGGTCTTAACTAGCGCTTCAGACTGTGCCTGGAAATGGACTGCTAGGTCCTAGGTTTTCACACAGCCGTCTCCACTCTTGAAGCCTGTCTTTGTAGTGTTGGTTTGAGACCCGAGAACTCCACCTATTAGTTCTCGCTTAGCTGTGGCAGTCACAGGTTTGGCCAGCCACCTGCTCTCCAACACACACACACACCCATGTTCCCCATAATCTATCATTTTAAATTGGTAGTGGACTCTAGGGACCCAAAGTGACTTACATAATTAAAAGATAATATTTAAAAGCTAAAAACAGTTAAGTATACAAATATTTTAAAAGAAGCAAACAAATTCCGCATTAAAAATGGTAAACAAAATCAACGCCAGAAACACATCCAAAGCAACAAGGCACAACAAGCCATTTTAAAACCCCACCCCAGGAGCCAGTCATTAAGGCAAAGCCTGCCTGAAGAGAAAGGTCTTTGTCTGCTTGCAGAACGTCAGCAAGGAATGGGGCCAGCCTAAGCTCTTGTGGGAGGGAGTTCCAGAGTCTGGGAGCAACGAGAAAGAAGGAATTGGTTCCCATGGCAGGCTAGTTATTTCCTGCAAATGGCAAGCTCAGATTTTGGATTTAAAGTGGTGCCTATTTCACAGAAGAAGTACAAGAACTTCTCTGAATGCAACTGCTGCAGAATGTTGTTACAAAATAATTGAGAAATATTTCAGGCACTCAGAATGGTTCTTGGGGACTGTGTGGTTCCCTCGGGCAACTCACATCTTGAATTAATTCCTCCCAGATTACTTTGCTGAAATGAAATATGCCTAATGGTTTCTTCCAGCACTGTTCCAGATATTTGTGCAATTTCCCAGTAAGACTAATTGATATCATGTCTGTGATATATGTGCTAACCATCTCTTGACTGGTTAAATATATGCAATGTGCAAACATGTTCTGAAAGAGAGAGAATGTGTGAAAAGCTCTAATTAGCTTTTTTTCGCACCATTGGTATTGGCAGATTAGTTTCAGATAACTGGGAAATACTCAGCCTAGAACACTTAAGTCTGCTTTATTTATTAAAATGATCTTCATCATTAACATTCTCAGTTTATTTGTCTGTCACTGTTCCATGGGGAAGCATACTTAGAACAACCTATAGCAACTTCAGACAAAAAAAAATAGCATAATCAAATAGAGCATTTCTAGACAGTTCAGTAATGATTAAAAGTTAGTCTTTAAAGCAGGATTGGGGAATATGAGGGCCAAGGACCAGAGGCAATCCCCAGAACCTCAAGTGTAACATCCTCCGACCCAGATCTTGGGAAAATAGAGCTCAGGAAGTATCTCCTTTTGTCCCCTAGTGGGCAGGCACCAGGCTTTAAAGGGTCACCAAGCTCCCTCAAAGTACCGAATTTAAGAGAGAAAGCTGGCTACTAGATGATCCTGAAGCTGAGACTCCAATACTTTGGCCATCTCATGAGAAGACTCCCTGGAAAAGACCCTGATGTTGGGAAAGTGTGAAGGAAAGAGAAGGGGACGACAGAGGATGAGATGGTTGGACAGTGTCATCGAAGCGGCCAACATGAATTTGACCCAACTCTGGGAGGCAGTGGAAGACAGGTGGGCCTGGCGTGCTCTGGTCCATGGGGTCACGAAGAGTCGGACACAACTAAACAACAACAAAAGATGATGAAATGGGCCTTTTTCACTTTAAGAAGACTCTTCAGAAAGAAAAATGTGGGAATGCATATTCGGAAGGCAAGTGCAGACCTCCAAGGTCAGAAAAGGGAAAACAGAAAATGCTGGGCTAGACCGGCAGAAGACTGAGGTGTTATAGGAAGGCCTGGATTTCTGTCGATTCAACCGTATCACCACCCAAACTTTAAAGACATAACCCACAAGGCTCTCTAAAGCAATTTTTCCATCCCATGTTGGATTGTTCAGCACATCAGGCTGACCTCCTGTATCCTAGCTCCAATTTTAATGCTAGTTATAGTATGCCTATTGAAATCTGTGAGACTTACATTAGCATTGACTAACCAGTTGTATTCATTTCAGGGGGTCTGATCTAACCAGGATTAAAATAGGATTTAGCTTGGTGCATTCAGAAAGCTGAGAAATAGCTCTATTTGGTGTTCTGGATTGCCCCCACCTGTACCAAGCCTATTAGGCTATCTCAGTCCCTTGGCTTTCTGTTGTGTCTTCTATTTTCATTTCTTGGAACTTAGACCATGGCAACATCTCTGAAAGAAAACAAGAGAGTTCCAAGAAACAAGAGTTCCAAGCTTGTTTGGCCTCGCTTAAAAATTCAGTGGCAATAGGTTATGTTTGCTTAACCTTACCCACCACGTCCCTTATAGTATACCTATTGAAATCTGTGAGACTTATATTAGCATTGACTAACCAGTTGTATTCATTTCAGGGGGTCTGATCTAACCAGGATTAAAATAGGATTTAGTTTGGTGCATTCAGAAAGCTGAGAAATAGCTCTATTTGGTGTTCTGGATTGCCCCCACCTGTACCAAGCCTATTAGGCTATCTCAGTCCCTTGGCTTTCTGTTGTGTCTTCTATTTTCATTTCTTGGAACTTAGACCATGGCAACATCTCTGAAAGAAAACAAGAGAGTTCCAAGAAACAAGAGTTCCAAGCTTGTTTGGCCTCGCTTAAAAATTCAGTGGCAATAGGTTATGTTTGCTTAATGCGATTATGTAACCCTCATAATTGCATCCAGGTTTGAGCTGCAGGCTTTCCAAATTACATGGTGTGACAGCCACCCATGCAGGTTGCCTGGAATTCCAGGAGGCTGTTCCAGTGTGGTTTCCCCTGGTTGGCTACCAGGACTTGGATTACGGCTTGTCTCTCCCTGTTGTGCAACTCTAATGTGAAAGCAGGTCACAAAAATGGTGTTTCAAATCACATTAAGCAACTCGTATATATGATTTTGCATTATCAACCGGCAGAGGTCTTGCCTAGGCTTACAAAACATGCCTGAAATTGGTTGTTGTGGGTTTTTCGGGCTCTTTGGCCGTGTTCTGAAGGTTGTTCTTCCTGACTTTTCGCCAGTCTCTTGTGGCCGGCATCTTCAGAGAACTGGAGTAGGAACTCTGTGCATGCTGTGTTGCTGTTTGTTGGATAGTTGAGTATTTATAGCTGTGGGAACAGCTTTTGTCTTTTTTCAGGAGATAGGGGGATCAGCATGTTTTTTGTTGTGATAAGGGGGGAGAGATGATCTGTCACTGTAATTGATGGGTGTCGTTTGCTGGTCTTTTTTGTGCAATGATCCCTGGTCCTTGTGGCTGGATAGAGTTCATTGACCTTTTGCAGGCTGCATTTTTCAGTATGGGGAGCCAGGCTATGTTTAGTTTTAGGTCTCCTTCCTTTTTGTTGAACTTCTGTTGATGTTTATGGATTTCAATGGCTTCCCTGTGCAGTCTAACATAATGATCGCTGGTGTTGTCCAGTACTTCAGTATTTTGAAATAGAATTTAATGCCCACATGCCTGAAATTACTAACAAATACTAACAGTGGCAGGACTAGTGATTAATTTGCTCTTTCTTTCATTTTAAGCAAATGCCTATCATTTGTCCTCTTCTTCAGCTGTGGCAGGCCATATAACCAAAAAGACACTGGTGAAGGAACAGTGGACAGAACTGATGGGGCATCACACACGTTGAGCAGAACAGGTAAGTGGATGTTTCCCATTTCAAGGTGGAGAGAGGTCTTTCAGCTCAAAATCTCAGTTGTAGAGATGTTCTGAGTAGGAGTACTTTAGCGGTGAGTGAGTCCAGAGACAAAAAGATGGGATCTAATCCCCAGCAAGTTTTGGCTATCAGGAACTAAATCGTATGAGTTCAAACTTCTCAAGTTGGGGAGAAGATACAAAAGCTTCACAATCAGGTACCAGAGATGTACAGAAATGCGACAACTGTGTCAGGTGAGGTGGAACTGAGAGGTGACTTCCCTAAGCTTCTACACAAAGGGGGAGAGACAGGACCACCACCCAACCCTCTGCCTCTAGAAGATTTCAAACCAAAGGTCCACGTGGGCACAGACCCGTATGTCTGAGTACAGGCAGAATATGACAAGGAACTCCACTTGCAGCTGTGCATTCTGTTCTAGGAGCTGATGTTGAAAATATCTGGAAGGTACTCAAGATTCCTCACTTCTGCCTTAGCACTTCTCCAAACCATGCATTTATCCTGAGGTTCCTTTTTCCTCCTACGGGACTTACGAGATTCCCCTTTGTGAAAGAACCCATGTGTATTTTGTGGGGAGGGAGGGAGTTTAGAAACTGCAAGACCTTGAATGAGAAGATACTCACCAAGGTCCTCATTCTCATCTATTTAGGCACCTTTAAATACTGTAAATGCCTTCAGCACTCTAGGTTATGAATGAGACAAGGAATGTCCCTTAGTTTTCCACCAGGAATTTTGTTTGCTTATTCAACACAGTCTGTGCAAAACGACTGTCCTTTTGTGCTAAGAAGCGAAGTGCATGCACACACAGCAAGCTTAAAAAGGCTAGTGTATTTTTTTTTAAAAAAAAAAGATGGGAAGAATCCATCCAATGCTTCAGTTTTTTTAAAATTCCATTAAATAAAGGAGCAGCTAGTGTAGTTTTGTGCAATTTGCACAAGCTACGCAACTGTTGGAAGGCATGCAATTTGTACAGGCTACCCAGTTTGTGCAAAAGTGTTGAACTGACAGCACCAGAAACAATATCTCACCCTCTCTTGGAGCGAGTAGACATTCCTACACCGATAACGTAAGGACGACAAGAAAGGTTTTGCCTCTTTAGACGGAACAGACCTTAGAACGGTGGTTCCCAACCTTGGGTCCCCAGATGTTCTTGGACTAAAACCCCCAGAAACCTTCACCCCTAGATGTGCTGGCCAAGATTTCTGGGAGTTGTAGTCCAAGAACATTTGGGGACCCAAGGTTGGGAACCACTGCCCTAGAGTAACATAAGACCTGGCTCTTGCCTTTTCTATGGAACTGTTTTCTCTCGGTCCCACCACTTTTATCGGCATGTTTGGTCAGTATGCGGGAGAGGACCTTCTCTATTACTGCTCCCAGACGCTGGAACTCCCTCCCACTGGAGGCCAGACTGGCCCCATCTTTGCTGTCTTTCCACAAGCAGGCAAATACGTTTCTTTTCTGGCAAGCTTTCCCTGAGTGACTGGCTGCTTTGTTATACGTTGCTGCTTTGAATGTGTTTTTCATATTGCTTGCTTCCATCCTTTCTCAGAGTGGTCTTTGTTTATTCCTTTTTAATATTTGTATACTCATTGTTTTTTTGCTTTAAATATTGTCTTGTAATGATGGGTCCTTGGGTCCTTTTTAAGGAGAAAGGGAGGGGGAAATTACTTTAAACAAGCAAGCAAACAAACAAACAAACAAACACACACACACACACACACACACACACACACACAGAGAGAGACAGAGAGTTTGATCTTATTTGCATTAATAGTTGGACTTGCTTTTCAGATGATCCAGCACAAGCCACTTCTGACTACGAAACAAACAACAGCGACAGCAGCGACGCCGTGCAAAACGATGACGAGACAGATTGTTCCAAGGAGCCGGCACAGATGGGATCCATCTGTAGAACGTATACTCCAGAGGCAATCATACTGCATCCCTTGTTGCCGCCGGAGGTATTCTGATCACTTTTCAGGATATAGCTGCGTTTCTTTAATGTACCTGGAAAACTGTGAAAGGACCGCCCTGTTTCAAAAAAACAGAGTTTGACCCACCCGTCCCCCAAATCTGAACATTTGGTAGCAGAACATACATTTTTTTTCATTCAAGCAGGTTTAAAAATTCAGTCCCAGGCATCTCTAGTTTCAGACAGTGAGGAAGAGAAAACATTTCCTTGAGTCCTTTGAGGATGACCACAGGACACACACACACAAAAACTTGGCAGGGGGCCAGAGGAAATCTGGCCTGTGGATCCCATCCCATCCCACAGGAGATCCAGATTTGCTTTATCCTTCCCTTTCCAGTTACAGGAGATTGGAGATTACAAGGATGCCATTTCCCACTCTCACCTACTTGTTCCAAGAGCTTTCCAGACCTAGTTATGTCTCAGGTGGCTATTACTACCAGGTGAGTCTACTTCACTCTTGGTTCCCTGCGTCAGGAACAGCGAGGAGCAATCCTGGTCTACCTTAACTAGATTTTGCAAGCACCTACTGAGACCACTGCCTCTTCCCTGCTCAGAAAAAGGGGAGGATGGAAACCTGGTTCCCAGCCAAAGCAGCAGATGGAAAAGCTCCATCACTGACTTTTGATGATATTTGTCCTGGAGACAGTTTCAGGGAGGAGGTAGAATCTCATCCTCCCAGCCCAGAAGACTTCCCCAACCCGACAATGCATAATATGTAGCTCGATGAACCAACGGTTGGAACCCCTTGGGATCAAATACAGTGGTGCCTCGCTTAAAGGTGATAATCCGTTCCAAGAAAACCGCTGTTAAGCGAAAACATCGTAAAGCGAAATTTAAAACCCCATGGAAACGCATTGAAAAGATCAGCATAAAGCGGATTCGTTGTAATACAGGGCAGTCGTTAAGCGAGGCACCACTGTACATGCTGTATCGTCTAGGAGTATTCTGGACTGTGCTTCTGCAAGGTGGGATCCTGTTGATCTGTGTTGATCGTGGTGCGATTTGTAAAACCAGAGCTCGAATGAACATTGATCCCGCATGTGTCCTGCATGCTCGGGAGAACCCAAAGGTTTACCAAAGGAAAAAGAAAGAAAATGAAAATTTGCATAGGAAAAGGAAGCTGAGGGGGAAAAACTCCATTGAGACCTGAGTGTGGTCACATCAAGGCTGGAGATAGAAGAGCACATGAAATCAAGTAGCAAGAACCCATGAACAGCACTAACACCCAGTGCTGTCTAAAATATCTGTGGCAGTTTATTCCAGGTCCCTCTTTGCATTTTTCGGATTGTTGTTATTGGGCTCATTCTTGTTTTTCATCATTATCATTGGTATGACCCCATGCTTCGTTGTGCTTGGTGAAAGGGAATCAGATTTGCATAAAACATGGTCTGGTATCTGGTGCAGCGTGCAACTTATGACTAGCCCAGTTGCACAGAGTGATGAAATCCCAAGTAGCATTGCTTGCAAATATCAAACTGAACGAGAAAGCCGAGAAAGGGGGGGGTAAGTAGTGTGGGAGATGGGAGGTTGGAATAGAACGGGACTGTTGTGCATTATTGCACAACAAAGTACAGATGTGGTCTAAATTAAGCTCATAAATATCCACATTTAGCATGTAAATAATAACCCCCAGAAGTGGCGCAAGAGTCCAAAATGAGAGTTTGGGGAGGAATGCTAGCTGCCAAGATCCTGCCCTCTCAATAAGTTTCAGCCCATTTGAAAAGAAGTGAAAATAAATTGACTTTCCCTACTTGGATGCTGGCTCCTACTATTTTTTTTTTCACTTGTAGCTATGTAAGGCTTGCTAGAGCTCCTCCATTCATGCATTCTATCTCTCTCTCTCTCTCTCTCTCTCTCCCTCTCCCTCTCTCCCCTACCTTCCCGACTCTTCGTAGTCATCTCTGCCATTTCTCTTTTCCTCCTTTTAACATACATGAAGTTCTCTCCCACAGGGGCCCACTTAAGTCAGGTACATACACTCTGTCCCAAAGTCTTTTCAAAGGCTGTTCGCGAGGTTTAAGGCCCAAAGCATTTTGCTCCTGAGGTACCTTTCCCTGTTCCATGTTCAGGAACTACCTGTGGTGGCCGTGGAACCTCATCACAGGACTGAAGAAAAGATTGTGTCCTCCAAAATAGAGGAGTCAGGAAGCTAGCTTAGAGGCTTCGAAGTGGCTCATGCACAGCTCTGTCTGGCAGCAGCAGTGAGGAGCCAGTGGGGGAATCAAGAGAAAAGATAGGAGGCTGCTAACGCCGCTTCCCAATACTTGCCTCTTCAGGTCGCGCCTTGCCCAGTATTAGGGCTGGCCATAACTAGTGCCTGATATCCTTTTAATAAATGATAATTTTTGTTGTTTTTTAGTCCTTAAGTCATGTCCGACTCTTCGTGACCCCATGGACCAGAGCACGCCGGCCCTCCTGTCTTCCACTGCCTCCCGGAGTTGGGTCAAATTCATGTTGGTAGCTTCAATGACACTATCCAACCATCTCATCTTCTGTCGTCCCCTTCTCCTCTTGCCTTCACACTTTCCCAACATCAGGGTCTTTTCCAGGGAGTCTTCTCTTCTCATCAGATGGCCAAAATATTGGAGCCTCTACTTCAGGATCTGTCCTTCCAGTGACCACTCAGGGTTGATTTCCTTCAAAATGGATAGGTTTGTTCTTTTTGCAGTCCAGGGGACTCTCAAGAGTCTCCTCCAGCACCACAATTCAAAACCATCAGTTCTTTGGCGGGCAGCCTTCTTTATGTTTCAGCTTTCACTTCCATACATCGCTACTGGAAAAAACATAGCTTTGACTATGCGGATCTTTGTCAGCAAGGTGATGTCTCCGCTTTTTAAGATGCTCTAGGTTTGTCATCGCTTTCCTCCCAAGACGCAGGTGTCTTTTAATTTCATGGCTGCTGTCACCATCTGCAGTGATCATGGAGCCCAAAAAGGTAAAATCTGTCACTACCTCCATATCTTCCCCTTCTATTTGCCAGGAGGTGAGGGGACCAATGGCCATGATCTTAGTTTTTGCATGTGATAATTGCATGCCATCAATTCTGACTGATGGTGATCCTTTCCAGGGTTTTCTAGGTAGAGAGTACTCAAAAGTAGGTTACCAGTCCCTTCTTTCTGGGGCATTGTGAAACTGCACAGCTTGCCCAAGGCCACATAGTCTAGCTTAGAGGGGAATCAAACTCCTAACTTGTAGTTCCATAGCCAGATACTTAACTCACTGAGCTATCCAGCCAGCTGATGTCTTTTGAAGCAGGAAAAAAACAAAACACTGAAGATTCCAAGGCGGTCTTGTATCCTTGTTTTGGGGGCCTTTGTGTCATGTGCCTTGAATAGACCCTTGCTCTGAGTAGCCTCAGCATCTGTTTCTTTCTCATCTGAGAATGAAGGATACAGTCAGGCAGAGGCCCCTTCAGAGCTTTCTGTAGGCTGTCTATCCAGTCTGTGCTACAGGGCTGTTTACCACCATCTGTCCCGTGGGAAGGTTTCCCAAAGAAAGAGAGAGGCAGGCATGGAAGCATTCCCTCAGCGCCTTCTCCCGGCTGGACCACCCCCACACCCAGCAGGACTGTCTGTCACCATCTGCACTGTGGAAAGAATCCCGGTGGTTTGTCACTTTGGGGGGAAATGTTCATTAAGATTTACTCATGATTGTTGATGTTACTTGTAAACTATCCTATATATATTTTGGAAGGCAGGATATGCATAAATATATTAGTGAATACAGAAAACACATCCCTGCTTCTCACTACCCATTTCTTGTCCTCTGCCACTAAGGTGGGAGTGTGTATGGCAAGCAGAGGGAACCCTTCTCTCCTTCTCTTTCCCCCTCCAGGATCTAGATATTGTTGTTGTTATCTGTGTTGTTTACTCATTAAGTCGTGTCTGACTCTTCGTGATCCCATGGACCACAGCACGCCAGGCCCTCCTGTCTTCCGCTGCCTCCCGGAGTTGGGTCAAAGTCATGTTGGTGATTTCCATGACACTGTCCATCCATCTCATCTTCTGTCATCCTCTTCTCCTTTTGCCTTCACACTTTCCCAACATCAGGGTCTTTTCCAAGGAGTCTTCTCTTCTCATGAGATGGCCAAAGTATTGGAGCCTCAGCTTCAGGATCTGTCCTTCCAGTGAGCACTCAGGGTTGATTTCCTTCAGAATTGATAGGTTTGTTCTCCTTGCAGTCCAGGGGACTCTCAAGAGTCTCCTCCAGCAGCACAATTCAAAAGCACCAATTCTTTGGCGGTCAGCTTTCTTTATGGTCCAGCTCTCACTTTCATACATTACTACAGGAAAAACCGTAGCTTTGACAATGTGGACCTTTGTCGACACGATGATGCTTTTTAAGATGCTGTCTAGGTTTGTCATCGCTTTCCTTCCAAGAAGCAGGTGTCTTTTAATTTTGTGGCTGCTGTCACCATCTGCAGTGATCATGGAGCCCGAGCAAGTGATATCTGTCACTATCTCCATATCTTCCCCTTCTCTTTGCCAGGAGGTGATGGGAGGAGTGGCCATGATCTTAGTTTTTTTGATATATAGACATCAAAATATCTAGATATACTGTATATATAATATCTGGATATACTGACATCTAAACAGGAACCCAGTGTGATGTAGTTGATAGACTGATGGAGCAAGATTCTGGAGGTAAAGGTTCCCCTTGACAATTTTTGTCCAGTCGTGTTCGACTCTAGGGGGCGGTGCTCATCCCCGTTTCCAAGCCATAGAGCCAGCGTTTGTCCGAAGACAATCTTCCGTGGTCACATGGCCAGTGCGACTTAGACACGGAACGCTGTTACCTTCCCACCGAGGTGGTTCCTATTTATCTGCTTGCATTTGCATGCTTTCGAACCGCTAGGTTGGCAGGAGCTGGGACAAGCGACGGGCGCTCACTCCGTTGCATGGATTCAATCTTACGACTGCTTGGTCTTCTGATCCTGCAGCACAGGCTTCTGCGGTTTAGCCCGCAGCGCCACCACGTCCCTCCCTAAGATTCTGGAGACCAGGGTTCAAATCCCACTTAGCCATGGAAACTCACTGGGGGAGTGGAACTGGTAAAACCATTCCTTTAATATCTCGCTCATTTTGAAAGCCCTGTTAGAGCTGCTACAAGGTACTGACTTAACAGCATGATGTCTGAAGTATTGAAAGAAAACGAAATGAAAACTTATGTGAGAATGAGTTCATCTCAATGGCATAGTTGGTATGTAGAAATCAAGGAAGATGCAAGTAGCTATATTCTGTAGGGTTTTTTTTTAATAATGCTGAAAATGTTTCTCGCTTCTTGATGCAGGATAAACCTATTCTTGCCCCAGAGCCTCTCATAATGGACAATTTGGACCCGCTTATGGATCAGCTAAACAATTGGAATTTCCCCATCTTTGATTTGGTAGAGAAGATAGGCAAGAAATGTGGCCGGATCCTGAGTCAGGTAAGAAAATGTGTGTCCCAAATTTCTGTAATAAGTCCCACCATGGATGAAGCATGTTTGGAAGGTTATGGAAGAACAATGATCTAGAGCAGTGGTTCCCAACCTTAGGTCCCCAGATGTTCTTGGGTTACAACTCTCAGAAGCCTTCACCCCTCGCTGTGCTGGCCAGGATGTCTGGGAATTCTAGTCCAAGAACATCTGGGGACCCAAATTTGGGAAGCACTGCTTTGGAGGGGAAATTACTTCTTAGGGACTAAAACCTTCTCAATTATCTGGCTGCAGGAATGCTGGATGGGGGAATCTGGAAGTTTTTATCAAAAAAGTAACTTTTCTCAGCTTGTGATCCAAGGTCTCTGGGAGATCACCATGGTTTGCAAATTGGTAGAACAGACCCAAGGTGGACTGTTTGCTAATTCTGAAAAGAGGGAAATGGAATTTGCATGAAAGAGTGAAGGACGAAAGGGGGGGGAAGCATATGAATTCAGAAGACATTCCCAGTCTCCCTAAATGTGGATAAAAGTTTGGGCAGCATTATGTGCTTGGTCTAAATGTGCAAAATTAAACCTGACTGTATTTGATGCAGGAATAGGCGAAGTGCAGCATCTGGACTACCAAAGCCTCTCAAGGCTGTCTTTGTAAGACACCCCCCCAACCCCAAAACTATTAGGATTTCCTGACTACTGGGAGTGGGGAAGAAGAAGGAAAAGGCAAATTGCTATCCTTAGATGCTTGGAGGAGAAGTGGTTCAATTATTGCACAAGTTGTAAGAGCCTCATCGTGTCCTGGTTAAACTGCAGTATTGCAGCCAAGACTCTGCTCATGGCCTGATTTCGATCCCAATGAATTCTGGCAGCTGGCTCAAGGTTGACTTAGCCTCCCATCCTCCCGGAATTGGTAAAATGAGTCCCCAGCTTCCTGATGGGTAAAGTGTTCCTTGCATAATTA